ACGCACAGTAAATACTTGTGCTCTGCATCTCTGAGAAGAGATGAAGGAAGTTGCAGCCCATGGCTTTAGATTGTGATGTTTATGGGAAATGTGGATCTGTTGCTCTTTGAAGTGCTTCAAAGCGGGTGACTGGCACCTGAGGATTCACTGCCCTGCACCCATCCCCACACAGACACAGAAGAAACAAATATCCCGACTCTGAGTGTGGATCAGTTCCTGGCACACTGTGGGAAGGAACCCACTTTGGGGACATTATGGTGGCCCAGATGGGGTGGCCATAAGGCCTTGCCTGGATCATTTTGCTGCCCTTGGCAATGGAGAATCAGAACAGACATGACTCCAGCAGGTACCAGGCAGATAATCAGCGACTCCTCCAAATCTTCTTTAGCATCACAGCAGCGAGCAAATCCAAAGGGAAATGCTCCAGGGATATTCAAGCAAGGATGGATGGGTGGATGGAATTATTGGATTGGTAAGTGCACTGCTCTTCTTTTTTCATATTGCTTTTACAAAAGGTGTAGATTTATCAGTGTAACTGATCAGTGGGATCAATCTCCGTGTAAGTCACAAGGAAACACCAGGCAGTGAGCTGTGATAAACAATGGGATAGGAGCAGTGTAACTACTTAAAGGCCAAACTTTTTTACCATGAAAGAAAAAAGAACGGTGTTAGAGAAGGAGAAAGACGAGGAATGGGCTGGAGATTTGGGGGTCTTTGCCTGAATGTGCTATTTGTTGACAGGAGGGGTCAGTTATAAGAGATAAATGTTATGATGATGGAGGATTTTGACAGTGAGGGAAGGGGACCAGGGGAAAATATCAGGGCATGCCCAGTTGATACTCTGGCTCCAGTAAAGCTGGGGAATGGAGCCACATCTTCAGAAGTAACTGGCTGCAAGGGCTGCTGAGGAAAGTTCCAGTAGAGATTGCTGGGGCAGCAGGAAAATTAGCTTTGTAGCCACTCCTACCACCCATGGCATGTATAGTTGGTGACACTAAAACAAATAGTCCGTTTCTATATATGCCATCAATGACCCATTTGCTTGCTGGGATGAGATATATTTTGTAACTTAAATGCACAAAACTTTTCTGAGAATACCATGCTGCTTCACATTCCACCTGAGACAGGCTGGAAAGCTCAGATCTGCATGTTAATGTGTAAACCATGGGATGTTGGAGAAAATATTCTGAATGCCATTTCAAATGCAGTGATCCACATGGGCCACAGGAAAACGAGGTAAAGCAAAGTATGTGTCTCCAGTTAAGAGAAAAAGCTCAGAACCAAAAGTAAAATCATTAAAAGTAAATAAATATCCTATAAAGACAGAAGGACAGAAAGGTCTGAAACCATTGGCATACACATTCTTACAATTTGGCATACTCAGACAATGCCAATCTGAGATTTAGATGCCTTCCTCCAGGTTTCAAAGAAGCCTTGTTCTCAAGAGTGCAGATTAGTACAAGTTTAAGAACAATCAATCAAACGTGCAGAGATATACACCCAAGTGTACCAAATCCTTGTGGCTTGTTAACCTCAGTGCTTGAAACAAACTCTTATTTTACTGTTTTGGCCTTAGAGGATACTTTCTCCTGTATCCCAACAGATGAGCAAAGCCAAATAATCTCTATGAATGAGAGAATCCTGTGGCTGGAGGAAAGATGCAGTGTTCAAGAGTGTTCCCTCAAGAATTCAAAAATAAGCCCACTTTATTTGGTGATTTTGGCAAAAGAAGCAGAGCAATGGAAAAAAAGGTAACAGTGTTCTTTTACAGTGTGTAGATGACATCCTCATTGGAGCTGACAAGGAACAAACCTGCTTGAAAGTGACCATAAGCCTGCAGAACATTTTGGGACTTCCTGGAATTTCCAGAAAAAAAAGGTAAGACTAATACCTTAGCTTTAAGGTATCAAAAGGACAATGAGCTCTGGGAGAAGGAAAAAAGTAGTGATATTCCAAATTGCAGCTCCTAGGACTAAAAGATAACTAACAGGAGTTTTGTTAGTAGTAGGATTTTGTCCCATACAGGTTCAAAAGTTTGGACTAACAGCCAATGCCTTTTATTTGGCAATCAAAGACCCTGAAGAATTGCTGGAATGGCCCTGACAATGTTGAACCAGTTTTAAATACCATAAAGGATGCTCATGGAAGCACCAGCTTCAGGCCTTCCAGATACAACTAAGCTCTTTTCATGATGTATGCACAGAAGGCAACAAGTAGCCTTTGTAGGGATGACACAGCTTCTTGGAAGTTGGCAAAGGCCAGTGCCATCCTTCTCCAAGCAACTGGATGGTCAGCATGCTTATGGGCCATAGCAGCCACCATCCTAATGATGCAGGAGGCCCAGAAATTCACTTTGGGATGATCACTAACTGTGCCCCTATGCCATTGCTGGCTATTCAGAATCCAAAGGGACATTACTGGATCTCTCTAAGCTGACTAGCAAAATACCAACCTGTGCTAATGGACTGGGGAGAGAAGTAGTCATGTGTGTGACATCAACTTCAAATGAAGCCATTTTGCTCCATACTGAAAAGCAAGGACCTTTTCAATATGACTGCACACCGTGGAGCAGTCACGATGCCAAGATTTAAGGGATGAGACTTTACAGAAACCAGGCAAAAGCTGTATGTTGATTTGTGAATACAGGTAAGTTAGCCCTGGTGGGATGGAAGAGATCTGTGGTATCCCAGAGGGTCTGTGTCAAGTACCCCCAGGACAGCATTGACCCACAGAGCATCACCCTGTGCCCACAAGTCTCCCACCCTCACCAGCTTCTTGGGCATCCAGCTGCCTGACCTGTGGGATGGCAGAGCAGCCGGATTTCACCGCCTGCATCACACCCAACTGCACAGGCAGGAGCCCCCACAGCTCGGGGACACCCTCCCCAGAAAATTCCACGTTCCTCCCTGACAGCCCCATTTTCCACAGGGCTGTATTGCAGCGAGTGCTGCAGAATCCTGAACACCTGCTCCGTCTGCATGGCCCCCCTGAGCTCCCCGGCCTCTGGGGATGAGGAGATGTGAGCAGAGGGGTGCCGGGGGCCTGCCCGAGCCTGGGGGGCTGCAGCAGGGGTGGGTGGCTGCAGCTCAGCCCTGCCTCTGTGCCCCCGCAGGGACTCCAGTGATGAGGAGACACCGGGGCTGTGGCTGGGCACTGAGCGGGCGCTGCGGGGCCAGGAACGAGGGCGGCGGCTGCTGCAGCGCATCAAGGACATGATCGAGGGCTGGAGGCTCCCCTTTGGAACGGCGGCCCAGCTGTGAGTCCAGATGGAGGAGGAGGATAAGAGTGAGCAGAGCAATGTGGGCAGCACTGGGGTCAACAAGAGCAGATTACTCTGCAGGTGAGGGCTGGCTGTGGGTTGGCAATGTCCCTTGTTCTCCCCAGCACTAGGGATGCTGGATGCCAACACTGCACTCCTCTCTCCCAGCAAGACTTCAACTAACAGCAGCAGGCCAAGAACAATGAAAGCGAGGGCCCAGTGACAGCAGGACGGTGCAATGTAGCAGCAAAAACACGGGTCTGGGTGCTGGGATGTGCTTGGAGCCCCACCAGTGCAGCAGAAGCTGAGTGCCACTGGGCGGGGAAGGACTGGTGAATAAATCGCCTAGTCCTCAAGGCACCTGAGTCCTGGTACTCTGAGTTGGCATCCATCATTCCATGATGGTCCTGACTTTGTGATAGCCCAGCTCCTTGCTGCTCCAGCTCCATCCCTGCTGTGACCCCAGCCTCTCAATGTCCCCCAGCCCCATCTCAAGCACCTTGGTGACACCATCTCCATTCCCACTGTGCCTCCAGCCCCTACACACCTCTGTCCCCAGCCTTTATGGTGTCCCCATTCCCACCCCTGTGGTGCCCTCAGCCCCATGCTGACCCCCACCCCTGGATGTCCCTCTCCCCACACACAGTGACCGCTCCCCATTCCTGCAGTGCCCCAGACTCTCAATGTCCCCATCCCCATCCCCACAGTGTCCCCAGTCCCGAGCTGCTCCAGGGTGGGGATGCAGAATGGACAGACAGCCGGACGCAAGAGAAGTCCCTGCTTCTCCATTTATTACCAAGCAGCCTTCGTTTTAAAAAAAAAAAAAAAAAAAAAAAACAAACACAGACGTACAGACAGGCAGAGGCGGCCCGGCGGGGCGGGGGCCGCCCGCCCGTGGTTTGTTTGGTTCCTGACACCAGAGAGGTTCAAGTAGCCGAAAAGGTTCAAGTTCACCATAAGGCACTTTAAAGCCATGACGGGAGCAGAGCCCCCCCCGGCCCCATCACCCCTCCCGGCGCTCCATGGCAGATGTGGAGGCCGGGCAGCGCTTGGCAGCGGAGGGGCTGTGGGGGGGAATATATTACATCATCTTTTTAAATATAGATAAAACTCTTATTGTAGACAAATAGTGCCGGTCCCCTCCACCCCCGGGGAGGCTGCGCCCTGCGGGGGGCATGTGCAAAGGACAGAGGGGTGACCGTGGGGGCCCGGCCACCCCAGGGAAGGGGAGGGTCCCACAGGGCCGGGGGATTTCGGAAGGGGGAAGGGTCCGGGGGGGGGCCGGGGCTGCCCCGCACCCGGGTGGGCTCACCCGAATAGTGCAACCAAGAGAAAGCAGCCGGGAGTGCAGGGGCGAGGGGGGCTCGCCGGGGAGGGGCTGCTCGGAATGGGGAGGTGGGGACAAGCTATGCACAGCGTAGGGCAGTGCCCTCCCCCCCCTCCCCCCTCACTGGAGAGGGTGGGGAGGCTCTCCCCACCTGGGGAGGGAGGCCTTGGTCCATGGATGCCCCTGCCTGGTCCTGGCATCCACGAGGGGTTTGGTGGGGGGACATCTAAGTCCCAGTCCCCCCATCACCCGCCTGGGCATGACCAGGTGGGCCCGGGCACGGTGGGGGGTGGTAAGGGCCCCCCACCCCCTTGTGCAAATCGGCCGAGGGGAGTTTCCCCCTTTGCATAACCAGGAATGAACCGTGACGGGAAAAACAGGAACAGAAACCCCAGTGGGCACGGCACAGCTCGGCATGGAACAGCACGACACCTGCCGTTGCATTGCCTCTATGCCGTCTCCACCGGCACAGTGCCATCTGGCTGCGGCCCTTCCTCACCCTCCGGCTCCTCTTCCTCCTCCTCGGGCTGCCCTGGAGCCCAGTAGCGGGCAATGGAGAGGCGCAGCCCCTCCAGCCGCCCATTGGAGAGGTCGAGGCCCGGGGGCCCCGCGGGCGGCGGAGGCGGCTCATCGCGGCGGCGGCGGCGGGTCCGCACCTCCAGGCAGTTCTGGCCCTTGAGGTGCCGCTGCAGGTGGTCGTCCTTGGCGAAGGCCTTGTGGCAGAGGTAGCACTCGTAGGGCCGGGCGCCTGTGTGCAGGTGCATGTGGTTCTTCAGGTCATAGCTGTGCAGGAAGCGGGCACTGCAGTGCTGGCAGGAGTAGGGCCGCTCACCTGTGTGCTTCCGCATATGGATCTTCAGTTTGTCGTTCCTGGAGTTGGGACACACAGGGAGATACTGGCATTGAGTAGCCAACATAGCATCCAGCTACAGTGGGGACAGCAACGGTGCTGAAAGCCTGAGAGCAGGGATGCTCTGTGGGGCACAGGGGTCTGGGTGCTTGGAGGGGCAGGGGACCATTGTACAGCTGCATGGCTGAGATGTAGCTGGCTGTTTGCAGGGGGGATGCTGCTGCCTACCCCGGGCTTCTCTGGCAGTGCTTACATAGTGCAGAAGACTCCCCTGGACCTGCACCACAACCATGCTGGGTGCAGATGAAGTGTTATGGGTACCATCAGGTACCAGGCCTTGGTCGATCTGGCAGCACTCACAGAATGCAGAACACCCCACTGACCTGACTGCACCAGTAGGTATGGCAAAGGGACACAAAAAGGGATGCTACTGGGTACCTCAGGTCAGTCCAGCAGCATTCATGAGGTGCATAAGGCCCCATAACCCCACTGCACCACAGCAGAACTTGCAGGGTGTGCCATGGAGGATGCCATTGGGTACCCCCTGTTGGTCCAGAGCACTCATGGGGTGCAGAAGACCCTCTAAATGTGCACTGCACTGGCAGGATTGGCAGAGGGGTGCTTTGCTGTATTGCCATCAGATACCCCAATTTGGTCTGGCAGCATTCAGGGGATGCAGAAAACTCCGTGAACCACGCCAGGCCTGTGGCCAGGCCCCAGTAGAACTGGCAGGGGGAGTGCCATAGGGGATGTCATTTGGTACACATCAGACGGGGAGAATCCGTCCAGCAGTACTCACCGTGTGAATCGGACTCCGCAGACCTGGCAGGCGAAGGGCTTCTCACCCGTGTGCGTGCGCATGTGGCGAGGCAGCTTGCCGGCACCATGGATGACCTTGTGGCAGACGGGGCACTCCTGGGGCATCTGTGAGCGGCGCTTGCGCACCAGCTTGTCGGGGCTATCCAGCCCAGGCGCCAGTGACTCGTGGTGCAGAGAGCCCAGATACGCCATCAGGTCAGGGTCGATGGCATCATCGTCAGAAGCTGCCTCCTCAGGGGACAAGGGGGGCTGGTAGGGGAAGGGGAAGGGGTGTGGGGGCAGCTCCTCCTCCTCAGGCAGCTCAAAGCTGTCATAGGGCAGGGACAGCCCCTCAGGCAGAGGGGGCGAGGGCAGCTGGGAGGGCGGCGGAGGGCTGCCGGAGCCCTCAGCCTCAGCGGGTGGCTCCTCGGCATGGTTGTTGAGCTGGGCACCGCGGGCTTGCAGGAACTTGCGGGTCTTCTTGCTGCGGCGCGGGGTGGGGCGGGGGGGTGGCGGAGCAGGCACCTCACCCTCGGGGAGGGTGGAGAAAGCCTCCAGGTAGCGGCGGGCACGCTCGCAGTCGCCGTCATCGGGACCGGGTGCCTCCAGCCCGCTGCCCTGCAGGATCTCCACGCAGGCAGCGATGACACAGGGGATCTCCAGCAGCCGGGCGGCACGCAGCACCTCGCCCATGTTGGCGCTGCTTATGGTCAGCGTGGCTGTGTAAGCAAACTCCAGCAGCGCACCCAGTGCCTCTGGCCCCACAAAGTCCAGCTCACAGACCTCCTGCCCCGGCCCCGGCCCTGCGAAGAGCTTCTTGAAATAGCGGCTGGAGGCAGCCAGGACGGCACGGTGGGTGCGGTACTCCAGCCCCTGCGTCTTGATGGTGACGTCGCAGAGCAGCCCCAGCTGCCGCTGCTCGTTCAGGCAGCTCAGCAGCTCACTGCTGTGCTCAGGGAAAGGGATGCCGATGAGGTCGTCCTCTGGGCTGGCCATCGTCCTCACCTGCAGGAAGGATAAAATGCTACCTGGGAGAGAGCACTTGGAAGAACCACTGCAGCTGGAGCATCGCTGTCACAAAGCCAGGGGACAAGGAACCCTCCCTGTACATGCTGGGTGACACTGGGGTTTCAGCGGGACACTAAACTGGGGCAGGCTTGGGGCCCACAGTCTGCCCTCAGTTCCCTCCATGCTGTGTAAAGGTTGGCGGGTGCAGGCCCCCCACCACAGGCCTCCACGCTTCCTCCACTACCACCAGCACCCAGCCGCCCGCGCCGCCACAGCAAAGGGAGAAATCTCAGCATGGTGTCTTTGAACAGCAGCGAGGTGCAGCACTTCCTGCGCCAGCCCACCCACAATCCCCCCAGCCCACCGCCACGGCCAGGCGCAGCCACTGGCTCCCAGCAACCCCGTCCTGGGAACATGGGCCTCACTGGCAGCAGGCACGGGTGGGCGGGCGAGCGCTGGGAAGAGCACCCTGAGGGCCGGGGGCCGCCCCGTGGAGCCCAGCTGGGCTGGGAACAGGGGCCACACTTCCTGCCACGGCAGATTAGGATCAGCACCTGTGCCACCGGTTCCTGCCCCCGCTCCTGGTCGGGACTGGGCCCCCTCCCTCCCCCTGTGCCCCAGCCTGGGGCCACTCCTCGCCCAGCCAAGCCCAGCCTGTGCCAGTCAGGCCTTTCCCACGCTGCAGCTGGCAGAGCTTGGCCTCAGCCCTAAACCCAGCACTGCTCACGCTCCCACTGTGGTCCCCGTGGTGCACCACCAGGGACCCACGTGTTCCTGTGGAGCCAGCACGGGTGGGAAGGGGGAGCCCATAACCCTCACAACCTGCAAGCAGGGTGCAGGCAGCAGTGGCAGCTCCAGGGCTGCAACCTGCCCTGCGACACCATGCCCAGCTATGGCCCTTGCGGCCAGCTAGGCTGCTGGGTGACACGGGCACTGCTGGGTGACAGAGGAATGGGAGTCGAGCAACTGCAGCGTGGGGGAGGCAGAGGTGCATACCAGCTCTGGGTTGCAGCTCTCGATTCTGCCAGAGTTGTGCCATGCCAAGTCAAGCCACGGTGGACAGTGGCATGTGGCACTGGCCGTTGCCAAGCCATGCCAAGCAATGCTGAGCCATGCCAGGCCCATCCACCCCAAACCCACCACGCCGTGCCAAACCACACTGTGCCGTCGGCAGGCGGGCGTGGGGGACGTGCCCCCTCTTGCCCATGGAGGGGCGGCGCGGGCGACGGCCCCCGGCACAGGGGCCCATCCCCAAGCCGGCCGCTCCCTGCGCTTGGGCGGCTGCCAGCTGGGGCTGCCTCGGCAGGCAGCTGGGAACGGCCCCGGAGCAACCGGCTGCGGAGCCGCCCCAGCCGCTGCCGAGCAGGCCCGACCGGCACGGCAGGCAGCAGCCGCCCCTGAAACTGGGAGCCAGGCAGTGCCGACCGCCTGGGATGCTGGCGCCAGCACCCATGGCCAAGCCCCCCTCCTTGGCAGGAGCACATCCTACCACCGGTTGAGGTCCCCTCTGCCTGCTGAGGTGGGGGTGATCGGATTAGGGGTGATTAAACCATCAGGGCCCTGGGAGCCAACAGGCAGTGACAGCCCCCAGTGGGATTATGCAGGATTAGCTGCAGGGGCAGGATTAAACCGGGGGGCAAGTACCCCACGCCACAGCTTGGGCAGCTGGAGAGGGATGATAGGGATGGGGCATCTGCCAAGGGTGGGCCAGAGCCCCACAGACCCCCAGGGCTGTCACAGGCAATAGTCATAGGATAGAGTGGCACCGTGTCCTCCAACACTGCCTCCCCCAGTGATGGCACCAGGACAGCCTCCCTTCTGTCCCCACAGCATCTCCAGCCCCACAAGACCCCTGGGCACAGGATGCTCACAAGAGTGATGGCACCCACTGGCACGTGCCTGTGGGGGTGTCTGGGCACAGGGCAGCAGCTGAGACCCTGTCATATCCCAGCAGGTGGCAGGGTGCTCTGAGGGACGGCCACGGACACCAGCCTCACCATGTCACAGTGCAGATGGATACAGCCTCGGTCCTGCCAATGTCACAGACATCACCAGCAGAGGTCTGGTAAGGGAGCTGGGACCCCTGTGAGCAGCCACGGGACTCGTGCCAGCAGACATAGCTGCAGGGCTGGGGCAGGGTGGGGGCGAGGTGCCGGTGACAGGAGGGGGATTTTCCATCGCACCAAACCGCCCCTTACAGCTCCTTTGCTGACACCCCCACCCCCCCGCACATCCTCCTCACTGGAGCAAAGTCACATGTTGAGCGGGTGCTGCCGTCGAGGAGATCACCGCAGTGATAAGGAAATGGCAGAGGATGAGGTGTGAGGGGACTGGAGCCGCCCCCGGGCCCCCAGCATTCCCTGGCTGGTGCTGGAGGTGATGGCTGGGAGGGAGCAGGCAGCGATGCCCATGGCCTCGCCATGCCAGAGCTTTCTTGGTTACGTCAATGCCGTGGCACATTTCGGCTGAAGCAGCCGAACGGGACTGAGGAAAGGGGGAGTTGCTCCCCGTGCTGAGCTGGCTCCCATGCGGGGCGGGTGGCAGCAGGAACAATGTCTGCCCGGGTCACCCTGACATCCCTCTGCCAAAACCACGGCCAGGCTCCACCCATGCGCCAGCTCCCTCCATCCCAGGGGTCCAGCCCCCCAGGCAGAGCCATGGGCAGCGGGGTGGGCCCTGCAGCACCCGTCCTGCACGGGGACAGGCCGTGTCCCATGCCACCAAGCAGGGATGGCGCCCTTGGTGAGGGCACAATGCCAGCCTGCGCTGAGCACTGGGCCCGGCTTGGGGTCGGTGGGAGGTGTGAGGTGGAAAGTGGTGTCAGGGGGGGATCTCCTCTGCCGAAGGGGGACAGAGGACCTGGGGAGCACAGTCCCCACCCTGGCCTGCTACCAAGTGCCCCTGCTTTCGGTCACAAGAGTCACAAATGCTGTCGAGGGACTTCACAGCCCCACTGGGGAGAATGAGTCACCCCGGAAGGGGAGCGCAGTGCAGTGTCACCCTGGCCCCTCACCCCATGGGGCCCCTCATCCTTTGGGATCCAGGACATGGACCCAGAAGTCCGGGCTGTGCAAGCCCCCCACCCTGCCACTGCCTGAAGCCAGCTGGGAGCAGCAATGGCCCTGGTGCCGATGGCCACAGTGTGGAGGGTGGTGTGGCTGCAGGGCAGGGGCTGTACAGCCCCTCTGTCTGCCCAGCAGGGAAGGTGGTGCCCCGGGCTCTGGCTCAGCTGGTGACCCTGTATCAAGCACATGCCAGGGGTCCCATTGCTGGAGGAAGTGGGGAGAGCAGCACTGCACTTTGAAAGAAGAAAAGAACAAGTGGAGACAAAAGGAAATGGTTTGGAGATGGAAGAGGATAAACAGTCCCCCACCCCACAGTGCTGAGAACGAGCCCCATGGCACTGCCCAGGCCCCCTGACAGTGGCCAGCTCACCCACAGAGGTGTGAGCTGTGCAGGCATGGGACATCAGCCATCAGCACTGAGAAGGGGGCTGGAGCGCCACGGCCCACGGCTGCCTCAGTGCCTGGCCGGCACTGCACCCGGGGCCAGGGCCAGCCCAGCACGACAGCTGCCACAGAGGCATCCCTGTTATGGTGTAGCAGGACTAGTGGTGTTGCCAGAGCCACCCCTGGCATCTCCGGCAGGGACAAGAAGCAAAGTCCTCATGCCGCCCACCCAGCCTGCTGGCACTGTGCTGGCATCCCAGCCCCCTCCTGCTGCCAAAACCTACCCCACTGCCACATGCAGCTGCCTGGCATTGCCACTGCAGGGTGTGGGCCCTGCTCTGCCAAACCAAAGTGACCCAGATCTCGCCACTCGTCCCATCCTGTCCCGTCCCATCCCATCCCACCCCATCCCATCAGCAGTAAGGATGGTGTAGGGCTCAGGCAACAACAACGTCCCACAACCGGCTGGCACTGAAGCAGCTGGCCCAGATCTCCCAGTGTCCAGAGGTACCACACTGGGTCCCCACCACCCTGGCAGCTTCCTCCACCATACCAGCAGTGATGGCAGGGTGGGTGTGCGGCTCACCTGCCCCGTGTCCTGGCGTGGCTCAGCAGTGCGTCGCGGCCCGGCTGGCGGCCCGCGAGTGGCAGGGAGGGGAAGGCAGGGTGCTGTGTGAACTTGGCCCCGCTCCCCGCTGCACTTGAGCTCAGGATCCCACCTCAAAAGGAGTCGACGCCCACACCCCGGGTCACGCACCTCCCAGCCCCGCTTCCCAGAACACACACGGCATTAACTCTTTGCGGCCGGTACTGCGCCGTGGGGTGCCAACCCGGAACCGGGCATGGGGCATCCCCTGGCCCACTCCCACGGGAGAAAACTCACAGCACTGTCAGGACAGGCACCCGTACCCTAAGTATGCCTTCCCTGCCACTAACATCGTCTCCAAACCGTCTGCCCCTGCCCCCTTCCCCCGTGCCATGGCATCACACAGGCCCTCACCTTCTCCTCTGCCCCAAGGCAGGGCGCTGGGTGCTCGCCACTGGCCACGGCCAGCCCAGCCGGGCTGCGAGGGCGCCTGTGCTCGGCGGGAGCAGGGCAGGGCTTGGTGCAGCATGCTGCAGCCTGCCCGGCCAGCCCAGGAGCCACCCCCCCGGTCCTATGGATTCCTGTCCTGCTCTCCCCTTGGAGCAGGTTCCTGAGATCCCACGGGGAATGTGGGAAGCAGGGACGGCCCAGCTGGACTATGCTGCCTGATCCCCTCCACTCCCTGGGCAGGGGCACTCGTGGGCTCCCCGGCCAGGCTGCAGGTTCATGCAATCCCCCCATAATTACACCCTCTGTGTCCCCAGCTAAACAGCAATTAGCAGCCCAGAGAGTGCACCCCACACCCCACCACGAGCACCAGCACCCGCCCAGGCAACCCACGCCAGACCGGTCAGGGGCACCTGCACTGCAGCACCCTGGCATGGCCTGGACTGGCTCCAGTGCTGGGTCCGTCTGTAGCAGGCCAGGCAGAAAGGGGAAGAGCCCCACACAAGCAGGACAGCAAAGGGCCTCAGGCCCAGCCCCAGCAATGCTGACAGAAGGAGCTGGGTTGTGCAAGAGCCCCTGGGCAGGCAGTGGAGATGGGCAGAGGGGCATCACCAGTGTGCCCTCCATGGTATCCCACCTCTCCCATCACCTCTCACCTCTCCCACCTCTCCTGGGCAGGAGCCAGCCGTGGTACCACGAGCTGCCCAGTGCCTGGAGCGCAAGCAGCACACAGCCTGCACAGAGTTGTGGGCAGCATTGCCCAGCACACCGGCACAATGCTCCAGGCTGCCCCAGTGGGGAGCACAGAAAGGGCACAGCTCTGGACAGCATCTGTGAGAGGGAGAGAGGACAAGAGGGAAGGAGGAGGGCTGTGGCACCTGCTGCCAACCCTTCCCCTGCCCTTTGTTCCCCATAAAGGAGGAGAATGGCGCCAGTCCCCCCTGGCCCAGGTGTGCCAGGTGCTAAGGGCGGGAGATAAGGTGGGCGAGGCGGGCAGGGAGGGGCATGGCACGGCATGGGCACGCAGCCCTGAGTCAGGGTTCCTACTGGTGGCCAGGATGGGGTGAGTCACCGTGGCCCCCCCACCCTGGGGGGTGTTGCAACCACCCAGGCACTGGCCACAAACTGCTGCTCGCCCTGGCTGGGGGGCATCAGGCTGGGGGGGTCAGGTGGGGAGGTGCTGGCCTTTGGGGAAGATGGGCTAACCTCCATCAGTCCATCCGTCCATCCATCCATCCATCCATCCATCCATCCTCCTCCAAGCTCCACCCTTGCCTTGGCTGGTGTCACTCTGACCAGTGTCACCAGTGAGGGGACATGGCCTCATCCCAGCTCCTCTTCCAATGGCAGGATGGGCAACCCCAACTCCTGCATCACATCCTGACAGCAGCACCCTGACCTGCCAGGGCATGGTGTGCCATGGCCACAGATACGTGGCCAAGGACATGTGGCCTCTGTGTGTCACCTCTGGCCATCCCAATGTGCCAAGGAGATGGCTGAGGCACAGGCAGAAACATGCAATGGG